CGAGTTTGCGCACCAAGCGTTGGAGGAGTCGTCGCAGGCGTTGAAGCAGCTCAACGAGTCGTACGGCTCCCTCGACACGATGCTGGCGAGCTCGAAGGATCTTCTGGGCACATTGTTGCGGTCGCAAAAGAGTGATACGTGGTACCTGCAGACGGCTCTCTACATGCTGATGGCTACGGGGGCGTGGCTGTTGTTTAGGAGGTTGCTGTATGGGCCGATGTGGTGGGTGGTCTGGTTGCCCTTGCGGCTGATGTTCAATGTTAGCATCGGCAGCAGCAGGGCGGTTGTCAAGTACGCCAATTCCGGGGGCGCATCAGAGTCCGTGGTTGTTGGGGGCGAAGGAAAGATTGACGTCGAGGGTCTCCCTGACGAGTCTTTGCCCACATTGGACGTGCGTGAGCCTCAACGATCGGCGGCGGTTGGTGGGGATCCCGAATCACTGCTTGAGAAGGTGGGTAAGATTGTGGAGGAGATGCCTGCGGAGATCGGCGAAGAGGCGACGACAGAAGGTGACGATGGTGTTGTTGACGAGAAGCCTGATGCTGAGGTCGTGGTTGCCCCGGTGCCCGACAATGATCTAAAGCAAGGGGCGCAAGAGGAGGTTAGACAGAGAGATGAGCTGTAAAGTCAGACAGGTGTGCAAGGCTAGCATTGCATCGTTTAGGCGCGAAACGCCCGACGGTCTCGTTAGAAGAAGAAATACCATCACATGGTCAAATACCCGATTCACGCCATGGTGTTTCCAGCTCTCGGCTCATGGGTGAGCTGGGGGTGGCGCACATCATGTCTCTGAACCGTCAGATGCCCCGTTGATTATTCTTTGTTCCTGGCACCAGTCTTTCGTTGAAACTAGGCGCTCCTGGGTTGATATTCAAGCCGGCCTCCCTACCAGTCTTACATCAGACGGCGGATTTGCGACTCGTCACATGTCCTGTCCTGCCGAGCTTATTTTGACATCTAACAAATGTCGTTGAGATGCCCTCTTCCTAGTACGCAGTCGAAAACTACTGGGCAACTGGCCAATAAGATGGCGTGTAGTCAGCGCAGGGATCGCCGCATTTCGCATTGAAAGTCCTTTAACGTTCGGATGGAAGAAGAACGGCATGACGTGGTGAAATTTCCGGGCCATGGGCTGGTCGGGCAGGACGGCAGCATTGGTCTATGCAGCCGGTGCCATTTCGTTTATTCCCATTACCAAAAGAATTGTGTAGCAGCAGCCCGGGGTGGTACCGGCTTCGTTTAGGTCGACGTTCCCACAACAGAACGGATTCCTTTTTTCGTTCCAAATCGTTCTTCGATGACACCGGGAGAAGGACGCGAGTTGGACTGGCGCATCGCCACGCACGGAGGCCTGACGGCGCCTCCTCTCAGGCGGGTGTGGTGGCTCGTACGGGCCTACCGGCACGGCATTGGTGTCTTGGGAGGTGGTACTACATCCGGAGGATGTAGATCGCAGATCCAGGACCGAGTGGTGTGGTTGATGGGCATCTCGTATTCATGCACTTCGTACGCAAATCCTATGAGGCGAAGTGAACACACTCATTGGACTGGGCATTGGATTTTCCCATTCGCCGCTGCTGACGACGGGCATGTGAGCGGTGGTGGGAATGCTGTGTGTGTGTGCCAAACGGCGCTGCGCATCCCCTCCATGCCAGCCCGCTGGTCCTGTGTAAGTCGTTGCCGTTTCGGAGTCGGCGCTGGCTCACGGGTGACGGCATATGACGATGATCGGCTGTCGGTCGGGAGTAAAGTGCGCAAATGAAACTGGCCGATATTAGTTCGTTTGGACGGATGTCCATGCCGTCCCTGCTGGAAGCCGTCACTCATTGTCGTTTGAAACGAATTCAGGTCGCAAGGGGCCTTGGGGGAGTATTCCCAGTGGACTGATGGAGAAGAAGTCACCGATGCCGCTTCAAGAATGGAGGATCGCTATTCCCTTCGACTCATTGTCGAGTGTCGAGCCATGGTGCCTGGGAGGAAAAAGTACGACAGCTTGGCGGCAGATGGGATTCGCTAAGACTCCCTCGCATTTAGTGCTCATTTTGGACTCCTCAGAACAGACCGTTGGCGCACGGCTGCATTGATTCCTCCTGGACGTTCCGAAATTTGGCCTAGACAGGCATTTGTACCAGTGTCTGTTGCTTCTAGCAGAAAAACGAGGGCCGTCGAGAAAATCGAGTCTGCAGGCCAGGCACCAAGCTACTGCAGCGGTGGCATAGAGTGTGGCGCTCTAGCATCCAGCGCTTTGTTCCGTCGACAGGTCGACTGAGGTGCGCTGTCGAGTTGGGGCCCTGAAACAGGTGCAGGTCACTTGGGCCAATGATACGGTACCATTTCCCCAGGAACCTTGCATTTCCTCGAGACGCGCTTCTTTCGTGTCACGGTCAACGAGTGCTCCTTTTTTTCTTTCTTTTTTTTTTTCTTTTTTCCCCTTCTCCTTCCCCCCTAGCCATTGCTTGGCTGTCAACCCAACTTCGTCCGAAGTCTGCACGAGTCGAGGTCAATCGACTGCCACACCACGCTGGCCTGGTACTTTCGCGAAAGGTCAGCCATCCCAAGCCCCTCCGAGGAAAACAGCGTGCAAACAAACAACAAATGGTGGATGGAGCCGTGGCAAGGTTCGATAGAGGCCTCGACAACATCGAGAGTGGAATACGAACAGACCACCAGACCAACGGCTCTCCACACTGATGTAATAATGGGTACCCGGCAAGTCCTTCCAATGGAGAACGGAGCAGGCGACGGGCGAATCAACATGGCAAGACGAGGGGGTGCACGACAGTCGCCAAAGGGAAAAGCCCAGCGCAATTTTAAAATTGGGCAAGTTGGTCCTGAGCAGATCCACTTGCGCAGGCATCCTCACGAGTCACAGGGAACCTTCTCCCAATCTCTCCCGGTCTCTGTCTCCCTCGCAGGGGCCCAGCGCGACCTTTCCAATGGCTTCTCAATGGCTCCTACCTTACCTCCGTTAAGGTGACGGGAGGTACCTCTACTCTAATCTTACGTGAAGTAGTACCTGGCAACCTTCTTCAATTTAACGTCAGGCACGGCGTGTGCCTTAACCTCCTTGGGACAATCCATCGAGCAGCCAGGGGCGGCGGCCTGCAGGTCTCGAGGCCCCAATCTTTCCCCGGACGCGGCGCGATCCAATTCGATCGTCAGTCAACCTTGCTATGGCTCCCCTTTCTCGCTTGTGTTTGGCTTTTGCGTCTCTGCCCACAGCAACAGGGACTGGGCAACCGGCTGGAAGAGCGGCTCACAAGTCACTCGCTTTCTCGTTGCTTTGCCGAGGACAGAGCCTTTTCTCGCGCAGTCTTGGGCTTGCTTGGCTGTTGCCCTCGGTGCTGTCGTTGGGTATCCGTATCCTTGGAGTCTCTGAGCTCACACCCAAGACCCCGTCTAGCCACTCCTCCAGACACCGCCCTTGCGTGCAGGCACAAGTGTGCATACCCGGGCCCCAGGACACGAACAAGACATCAGCTGAAGAGATGGGGTGGGTGTGATGAGAAGCCACGAGAAGAAGGGGGGCGGCAACGCTCCAGTTCGAGGCTAATCATAGCATGGCACCTGGGGCGGACCTTGGCTTCCCAGGTTGTCAACACCCCCAAGCAGGAAAAGGCCCTGGTCCAATGTCGACTTCCCGTCTGGAGAGATGGGTATGGGTTTTTTTTCTCCCTCCCCCTAGTGTAGGAGGAGAGACCACCCGCAGGGCACATGCTATTATAAACCCACCTCCGGTCCATCCACATGATTCCCTTCTCCCTTCTCTCCCTCCCTCTTCAGCCTCTGCTCTACGTTCGTTGCTTTACGCCTGCTACAATCACTCTCGTTGTGACCCAATACCGACTATCGATATTCTTAATACACCCGTGTAACACATCACACAAACACCAGCCAAAATGCGCTTCACCTCCATCCTCGTTGCCGGCGTCTTCGCCGTTGTCGCCAGCGCCCAGTCCTCAGCCTCTGCCACTTCCAGCGCCGCCGTTGCTGAGACTTCAGCTCAGGCTGCCATCACCAAGTGCTTGGCTGCCTGCCCTGCCACCGACGTCAACTGCCAGGCCAAGTGCATTGCTGTAAGTCTGACATACAAAGTTTGGGGTGTCTCCCTGGCGGAGGCGCAATGAAGCCAAGCTTTCTCAGAGATTGTATCACAGATTGCTAACACGTGCTGCTCATACAGGTCCCCAGCCCCAACGCTGACCAGATCAACAAGACCACCGAGTGCGTTGCCGCTTGCGACCAGGGTGACGGATCTGCCGCTGCCACCGAGAAGTTCGCCAAGTGCCGTGACGGCTGCATCTCCGAGTACTACTTCACCAGCGGCGGCACTCCCAACCCCACTGGCTCTTCCGGCTCTGGCTCTGGCTCTGGCTCTGGCTCCGGCAACTCTGCCTCCGCTGCCACTGCTACCGGCTCCGAGACTGCTGCCGCCACCGGCTCTGCTACCCGCGCTTCTGGCTCTGCCTCTGGAACTGCTACTGGCACCGGTTCTGCTGCCAGCGGAACCACTACCGGAAACGCTGCCCCCGCTCTCGTTGGCTCCGCAGCCTTCGGTGTCATCGGTGTCGTCGCTGCTGCCCTTCTGTAAATGAAATAGGCATTCTTCGTTTCTTGCATCTGAGGTTGGAAAAATACGAATGAGCTGGATGATCAGGAGGTGATGATGATGGAAAGATACCACTTGGGAGATGTATACTGTATATGCGGTCAATAATGAGTAGGCAGACTATATGGAACAATCGTAATGTGCCAGTAGACGAGAAATCGTCTGCTGCAAATCATCAACTATTCCACTTCCTTGACAACCACGTTGTGATTCGTCTAGATGTGCACCCGATATGTTTGTGATACTTGCCAGGCAATATCCTCCCTCGCGCGAGCGTGTTGGCTGTCGACCATGCAATACCCCGCAATCGATACCGAGAAGGGTCCTTGTGGCATGGGCATAGGTAAAGTGGAAACTCGAATTCTTTTGGGTTATTGATATCATGCTACATCTATTTCCTAGTAGGTACGGTGACTGGAATGTCGCTGAGCCAGGGGACGCCGAGCTGTTTCATCTCAACGGCCAACTGGAACAGATAATCCAAGCTAAACCAGACCGTGTTAGCCATGACGATCCACTGAGACACACAAGAGGCAAGATGGGGGACAATGCTGCGCGTCAACATAATCAGGCAACTTATTTGACTCACCTCTCGCACTGGGTCTTGGCCTTGTGGACGTTGTCGCCCCAGACGTAGACGCCATGCCTGCGGACGAGCACGGCGTAGGTGTCGGGGTACTTGTCCATGGCCTCCTCGAGGAACTCGGTCAGGTCCTCCTCATGGGCCGTGTTCTCGATGACGGGGATGCGGAGCGTGTCGTGGTAGCCGAGGTTGCCCTGCTTGTGGAAGCCCTTGCCGAAGCCCTTGATCTGCTCAATGTTGTTGATCTCGAAGAGCTTGTCGTTGCCCGGGCCGCGGCCCTCGAGGATGAGCGTGACGAGGACGGCCCAGTGGGAGTGGGTGTGGATGCAGCAGCCGGCGCCGCGGCGGGTGAAGGCGGCGAGGAAGAGCGGGGTGCACTGCGAGGGCTTGTAGGAGGGCGGGGAGCGGAGGTAGACGCGGTTCTTGAGCGAGGCTTCCTGGGCCGCGAGGGAGAGGACGTAGATGTCCTGGGCCTTCATGAGTTCCTTCTGGACGCCCGAGGGGGCGATGTAGACGAGGTCGCTAAAGCGTGTAAGTGTACGATCATGTTTGTGAGCGGTTTTTGTATAGTGTGTGTAGTATGGTTCTTTGAGGTGGAACAATACGACAAACAGATTTTGTATGTGAACAATAGCAGCGCAATGGCTCTGTATGAGGGGACAATTTGGGGGAGATTCTTTACCCATCACGAATAGAGGCACCACCACCAGTACCCGTCACCCAACCGAGATGCCAGAATTTTGCGCAGAGAGAAGGGATGAGGTTGGCAGGGTGTTCCGGGTTTTCGGAGGTAACAAGCTGGTCGGGGTTTTCGATCTCACTGGCAGAAGCCATGATGGGCTGTGGAATGAGATGAGATGAGCGACGGGTGGACGAGGATGAGTCGCGGGGTAAAAGCGCCGGAACAGACTCTTCGGCCACGAGCGCGATGAATTTCGGAAATTTTGAGGCGATGCACGCAAAGTATAGCAGTCGTATGCCTCCTTTTACAAACGTTTCTTGTTGTCCAAAAGGTAGATTGAAGAAATTCGTCACAATCAGGTATTGCAAGTCGCTCAGATCACGGAAATTTTCTACCAGCCACACACTCGCTCATACAGATGAGGCTCAATTGGCCAGTGACGACTTCCTTCTTCCCCACATGGCATAGCACGCAAGACACAGAACACACTGCAGTGAGGTCTCTTCGCTGGCAGGGTGGGATGCGAGAACGAGTCCGCGGCTATCGATTGGCTGGCTGCGTTGGTTTAGGTATCGAACGGGGTCTCTGTGCTCGCCTCTCTCCACTGAACGAGAGCGGCTTACTAAGATACTCGATTGGATCAAGACAGAGATTCGGGTTGGCGGATATGCGGATAGACAGTCGACCGCACTAAAGGCTAATGTGACAGACCGGTGAAGAATCGGCGGCTAGCCCCGTCAGATGAGGCTGAATTGGCGCAGGGCAGTCGATGCGAAAGGACACCTAACCACTTTCCGACTACGGGCGACAGAGATACGGATATGTGAGGTGCGCCATGTCAGTGCTGCTATTTACGGGTGGGTACATACTGGGTGCCCCATCGTGAGGTGAGATTGACGGTAATAATTGCGATTGAAGGAATGACTCTGGGTGATATTAAATCGCCCATTTCCGCAGCCCGCCTGCCTACCCAAAACAGCATCATGCCCTGCCCAGCCGTTGGGACGCTGAAACTTTCCCGAGATATCGCATTGCGGGCTGGTGTCAGGCGTGGGCCGAGGCATATCTGAGCCCGCGTCCCTTATGCTGGCGTATTTCAGAGTTCCTCCAGTTAGACATCAACTTCATGCGTCCATTGGGCCCGACCACTCGCAATGTTGGTGGCTGGTAAGGCGCACCATCTCAAACCAGGCGGGCATGGCAGGCTATTCGAGTAGAGCAGACCAACGACTCTGGCCAAGTGACATGCGAACTGCTCAAATAGAACATGAGAAATTAGGACCATACCCCATGTTGCCAGCTAGGGAAGGAGCATCCAAAGCTCGGTCTTCAGTTCCAGAGCAGACCGGGATGAGGCTATGAGCAGTGGTGGTTTGGAAGCTCATCGAAGCACCTTGAATCTCCCCTCCTTCCATTCACTGCTAGCAGGTGTGGATCCCACCCCTGGGCCTCTGGACCGCGTCCCCGCACTTTGCCCAGCCAGTCAGCCACAGGCCAGAGCCCACTGTAAAAGGTACCAGAGCACTCTTGGAGGCATTCATTGTATTGGTGTGCTGGTGCGGTGAGCAGCCTGGATTGCAGGTGAACACTGAAGGGCTACCCCAACGACCCCTGAAGTTGTAAGGTGAGGCGCTGCACGGCAAGTGCTGGTCCCCTAGCACCCTCCAGGCCCAGCAGGGTAGGTTCCCCAATTTTATTTCTTTGTGTGAGGTGCTCCCCGGTGCAGAGCAGTGCGATGCTCTACCCCGAGAGGTGATAGCTCTCTCCAGCTGGCCTTTTCTGGGTGCAGCTGCTTGCCGACACCTTACCCAAAAAAAAGGACACGTTGAGCACAACCCGTCCACGCCTGCACCACCCGCCTGCACCTGCACCTGCCTCTGCTAGCTCCTGCCTCACAGACAGATAATAAATCCGTCTCCCTTCGCTCACCCCATTCCTTCTTCCGAAACTTATTTTCCTCTCCTTGGGAAATTCCTCACCAGATCAATTCTCCTCCGTACACCTGCGCGCTGGGAGCAACCGACTTTGTCATTCAATTGACAGTTCTTCCTACCCGTACCTGCCTAAGCTACCAAGCTTGAGGTCTCTCATCTTTCCCACACCTTCTTCTACCTGGTCCAACGGTCTCTTCCATCATGAAGATTACAGCTGTCGCGGCCGCGGCTCTGCTGGCTGGCAGTGCCTACGCCGACGATGCCCAGAAGGTTCTGAGCGACGACAAGGCCTCTTCTGCCTCTGAGTCCGCTACCTCGGTCACTCCTCAGATCCCTACCTTCACCGTAAGCTGCTCCTCTCCATCCCTCTCACACTCTCCAGAACAGCACCTTCTTTGTTGCGATCGCCCCTCACCGCCGCCGTGTGCCAGCATCTGGCCTGAAGGCACGAGCTCAATGCACGTGGCAGCGGTCCGGATGCCTGGGGAAGCTTCTCCGCACCTGACTCTTCATCTTCATGCCTTCCAACCTCACAAGTAGCAAGCCGCTGACAATTGGTTTTCTGCAGCCTACCACCCTCAAGGCCCCCTTCCTTGAGCAGTTCACCGACGACTGGGAGCAGAGATGGTCTCCTTCCCACGCCAAGAAGGACAGCAAGGACGAGGAGGAATGGGCCTACGTTGGCGAGTGGGCTGTTGAGGAGCCCAAGGTCTACAAGGGCATGGAGGGCGACAAGGGTCTTGTTGTCAAGAACCCCGCTGCTCACCACGCCATCTCCGCCAAGTTCCCCAAGAAGATTGACAACAAGGGCAAGACTCTCGTTGTCCAGTACGAGGTCAAGCTTCAGAGTGAGTCTCATTCATGCCCCAAAACACGACAGCTCAATTGTGTGCGGTGCTGACCAAAATTTCTCTAGATGGCCTCGAGTGTGGTGGTGCTTACCTCAAGCTCCTCCGCGAGAACAAGGCTCTTCACTCCGAGGAGTTCTCCAACGCCACTCCCTATGTGATCATGTTTGGTCCTGATAAGTGCGGCCACACTAACAAGGTCCACTTCATCTTCAACCACAAGAACCCCAAGACTGGCGAGTACGAGGAGAAGCACCTCAACTCTCCCCCCACCGCTCGCATTGTCAAGACCACCGAGCTCTACACCCTCATTGTTCACCCCAACAACACCTACATCATCCAGCAGAACGGCGACCAGGTCAAGACTGGCTCCCTTCTCGAGGACTTCACCCCCGCCGTCAACCCTCCCAAGGAGATTGACGATGCCAAGGACACTAAGCCTGAGGACTGGGTTGACGAGGCTCGCATCGCTGACCCCGAGGCCAAGAAGCCCGAGGACTGGGATGAGGATGCCCCCTACGAGATTGTCGACGAGGAGGCCACCAAGCCCGAGGACTGGCTCGAGGAGGAGCCTCTCACCATTCCCGACCCTGAGGCCCAGAAGCCCGAGGACTGGGATGACGAGGAGGACGGTGACTGGATCGCCCCTACTGTCCCCAACCCCAAGTGCTCCGAGGCCTCTGGCTGCGGTCCCTGGAAGAAGCCCATGAAGAAGAACCCCGACTACAAGGGCAAGTGGACTGCCCCCTACATCGACAACCCTGCCTACAAGGGCGTCTGGGCTCCCCGCAAGATCAAGAACCCCGACTACTACGAGGACAAGACCCCTGCCAACTTCGAGCCCATGGGAGCTGTAAGTTACATCTCAATCTGCTGGTTTGAAATGACCATCACCTGCTAACACTCATTGAACAGATTGGCTTCGAGATCTGGACCATGCAGAGCGACATCCTCTTCGACAACATCTACATTGGCCACTCCGTCGAGGATGCCGCCAAGCTTGCCGAGGAGTCCTTCAAGGAGAAGCACCCCATTGAGCAGCTCGCTGAGCTCTCTGACAAGCCCAAGGAGGCCGAGAAGCCCAAGTCCCCCAACGACCTGAAGTTCCTCGACGACCCCGTCCACTTCATCAAGGAGAAGCTTGACCTCTTCATCACCATCGCCCAGAAGGACCCCATTCAGGCCATCAAGTTCGTCCCTGAGGTTGCCGGTGGTATCGGTGCCCTTCTCGTCACCCTCATCGCCATCATTGTCGGTCTTGCCAGCTCTGGTGGCGCTCCCCCTGCCGCTAAGAAGGCCGCCGCCGACGCCAAGGACAAGGCGAAGGAGGTCAAGGACAAGGCCACCAAGGCCGTCGCTTCTGGCGCCGACACCGCCAAGGAGGCCACCAAGCGCAACACCAGAAGCTCCTCGTAAATGAACGTGGCTGAAGGTGGAAATGTGAATTAGCTCGCTTTCTCTTTCATACTCTCGGTGAAAAAAATGGGCCGTGGCAGTTGTCTGAAGCAGAGCAACAGGGTCCTACCATCAGGAACGAAGAGGTATACGGATGCTGCTTTTTTTTTCAGTTAACCTCCCTCACTATATGTCTGTTTTGGTCATGAGAGGGACAGGCAGAGAAGCATGGCGTAGGTGTATTATAGCAACCTTAGCAAATCAAAAAAAGGATTGACCAATGTTTTTGGATGTCATGCGCGTGAGAGAGAATGGAGTGCAGTTGAATCTGGAATGTGTCCGCGAGTGATACGGATAAGGTAATCTGAATCCCGCGGGGAGATGGTGGCAGCCGGGATCTGTCGAGTTGTGTCGGGTCTGTATCAAGGTAGAGGCCCACCCGCCTGTTCTCCGCTTAAGAACGGGACAGTTGAATCCCATCGCGCCGTTTACGCTGGATACGCTACGCCTATGATTTTCCCCGCCGCTGGCTTGCGTGCACCTGACGCTCGGCCACTCGGTTTATGGCGGCATTTGGGCCGGCTTCGGCAGGAAAAGGAGGGAAGGGCAACTGTGGGAGCTTGGGGAACTGGGCAGGGATCCGAAGCAGCGTTATCATTACCCCACCCCAACCTTTCCCCACACTCTTGGAGCTCGCCGCGTTCCCTTGGACTTTATAAGGGACTACGATGTCGCTCGACTCCGGCCTCCGTCGACGTGGCTGATAATTGGTTCTGTCTAGTGCGCATTGCAGTAGGGACGAACTGACCGACAATTGTTGCACCATCTGTTTCTAGTCTGCCAATTGTGTCCTCAAGCAGAGCTCCCCCTTCTTAACCTCTCTCTCCCTTTCCCCTCCCCCGCCTTCTTCTCTTCACAATGCGTCGAGCCATTTCTCGAGGCATCACTACCGGTGCGCGCCGTTCCTCTGGACTCTCTCTCGCCCGCTCTTCCATTTTCTCCTCACCAGCAATGGCTTCCAAGTCTGTTCCCGCCGTTGCGGCGAGGAGGATACACGCCACGGCGCAGCACCTCAACGCTGCTCTCGCCTCGACAGCCGAATCTTACCCCAACACCCACGAGAAGATCGCGAAGCCAGAAGATACCCCCTACTTCATTGACAACCAGTTTGTGACTTCCAAGGCCACCGACTTCATCGACTTGCATGACCCCGCTACCAACAACCTCGTCACCCGCGTCCCGCAGATGACCACTGAGGAGCTCCAGGGCGCCGTTGCGTCTGCCGAGGCGGCGTTTCCCAAGTGGCGCGCCATGAGCGTGCTCGCCCGCCAGCAGATCATGTTCAAGTTTGTCGCGCTCATCCGTGAGAACTGGGACCGTCTCGCGGCGAGCATCACCCTCGAGCAGGGCAAGACCTTTGCCGACGCCAGGGGTGACGTTCTTCGTGGCCTGCAGGTCGCCGAGGCTGCCTGCGGTGCCCCGGAGCTTCTCAAGGGTGAGGTCTTGGAGGTTGCCAAGGACATGGAGACGAGAAGCTACCGCGAGCCATTGGGTGTCGTGGCTGCCATTTGCCCCTTTAGTGAGTTGCCTCTTGTGTAAGTGATGAGTGAAAGTGATGCTAACTGTCCAGACTTCCCCGCCATGATTCCGCTTTGGTGCATCCCCATCGCCACCGTTACCGGCAACACCCTGATCCTCAAGCCTTCCGAGCGCGACCCCGGTGCGGCTATGATCCTCGCCGAGCTTTGCCAGAAGGCAGGTTTCCCCGAGGGCGTTGTCAACGTCGTCCACGGTGCCCACAAGACGGTCGACTTCATCCTCGAAGACCCCACTATTAAGGCTGTCAGCTTCGTCGGTGGTAACAAGGCCGGTGAGTACATCTTCAACAAGGGTTCCGCCCATGGCAAGCGTGTCCAGGCCAACCTGGGTGCCAAGAACCACGCTGCTGTCCTCCCCGACTGCAACAAGAACCAGTTCCTCAACGCCGTCGTCGGCGCTGCCTTTGGTGCCGCCGGCCAGCGCTGCATGGCCCTCAGCACCCTCGTCATGGTTGGCGAGACCAAGGAGTGGCTTCCCGAGCTGGCCGAGATGGCCAAGAAGCTCAGCGTCAACGGTGGCTTCGAGGAGGGTGCCGATCTCGGCCCTGTCATCTCCCCCCAGAGCAAGCAGCGCATTGAGAGCCTGATCCAGAGCGCCGAGGATGAGGGTGCCACTATCCTGCTTGACGGCCGTGGCTTCAAGCCCGCAAAGTACCCCAACGGCAACTGGGTTGCTCCTACTATTATCTCCAACGTCACTCCTAACATGAAGTGCTACACGGAGGAGATCTTCGGACCCGTCTTGGTCTGCCTCAACGTCGAGACCCTCGACGATGCCATTGCTCTGATCAACAAGAACGAGTACGGCAACGGCACCGCCATCTTCACCCGCTCCGGTGCTACCGGCGAGACCTTCCGCCGCAACATCGAGGCTGGCCAGATTGGTATCAACGTGCCTATCCCCGTCCCTCTGCCCATGTTCTCCTTCACCGGTAACAAGAAGTCTATCGCCGGCGGCGGTGCCAACACTTTCTACGGAAAGCCCGGCATCAACTTCTACACCCAGCAGAAGACCGTCACCGCTCTATGGTCCAGCGCCGACGCTGTGTCGCAGAAGGCCGACGTCTCCATGCCCACCCAATCGTAATCATGTTTTGGAGGGGTATCCGATGCCCGGTCCGGTTCCGATAACTTTCCGGTCGGCGGGGCCGGTCCCGCTTTTTACGGGATGCTATCCGCAGCCGGGTGTCGAGCCGTCGATGGAGCGATAACGGTGTTTTTGGTTTCGAATTACACGGGCTAATGAAACTTATCTCAAGGGTTTTGATAAGTAACCGGCTGGACTGAAAAAGGAATGTCAGGTTGATCAAAAGGATGAGGCATTTAAAGCAGTTCACGCATGATAAATGAGGTTGAGAGTTATTGTATTTTCATAGTTGCCAAAATGAAGCATTTCGACATGGGTATCTCTTCCTCTTACTTGTGAGGGTTGTAATAATCTGAACTATTGATGAGAGCTTGGTCGGCTGCGAGGATCGTCCAACAGGGCGAGCCAGTCTAGTTGGCCTGCGACGCCTTAGTAATATGGATCCATATTCTTGGTCGTCTCAGACGTGCATCTCAACTTCATGCAAGCTTACAGAGCACCTGCTGCGACAATGTATCTTGACCTCTACTAGTCACCAAATTGACAATTTCAATGTCATACTGACCCTCACCTGCATCGAATGGGTTGTAATTTCATTTCATAGCTTTGTAGTGTCCATTCAAGCTTCAGACTTTCTTCGTTCAAGACCCACCAATGGTCGCTCGTCTACGGCCCAATTGAAGAAAGGAGGAGGAGCTGTAGGAGCAGGGCACGATGTTTCAATTGACAGACCTTCCCGATACCCTCTTCCTCGACATACTCACCCACCTGAAGCCTCGCGAGATAGTCGTCCACCGCCGCGTCTCCCGTGCGTCCTACGCGGCTCTCAAAAGACCAGACCTGTCCCAGGCGCTCCTCCACGTCTTCTTCCCCAGATCCTTAGAATGCCGCACTCTGAGACGCCAAATCTCGTCAGCAACCGAAAGCCAACCAGCCTTGGGGCCAACTACGGAGCTGGGAACAGACCCAGATTCAGACTGGCCGTCCATCTTTGCCTCCGTGGCCCGCCGCTACCACAGCCTCACGTCCGGCACGTACCACACTCTCACTACCATCTCGGTTCTCAAAGATGGGAAACAATTTTACCCTTTCAACCCCTGGAATCGCACCCTCCGCCGCGATGAAATGACGTTTCCTCTCCAGCTCCCAGACCGGAGGTGGACATGCTCCGATGGCATCATCATCTACCCCGCCCCCTCTTCTCCGCCCGTCTTCAAAGCCCTAGATCTCTCATCAAACAGCGAGACCACCGTCCCCTTTGACTGGTCCTCCAAAATCGTCCGTCGCGTCCGTCTCTCACATGCCTTCTTGGTCATAGAGTGGGCTGAGGAGGACGGCTCCCACCCCTTGAACGACTCGGAAACAGCCCACCGCCACTTCGCGTCCGCCTTCACCGTGACCACCACCTCCTCGCCTCTCCACCCCTCCGCGTCGTCTCCACCCATCGTCGAGTTCTGCTCGGAGTGGAAGATCCACTACCTCGGCCTCCCCCTCTCCCCCTTCGACCGCCTCTTCTCGACACACAACGCAACACACTACGCCCTCTACGCCCACCAGCCAACCCGCTCCCCCTGGGGCGAGGACACCCCCCTCGAGCGCCTCGTCGTGTGGTCCCTCAACGCCCCCTCAGCGTACAGACCCTCCCTCGACCCGTCCTCGACACACAAACCCACCACCGACGCCGGCCCGGAAATCGTCCTGCGCCTGACGAACGGCGACCTGGACCACTGGGGCATCCGGCAACGCGACACCCCGCGCCTGATGCGCCTCGTCCTCGACACGACCCATGAGGCCCGCGGCGGCAACGTCGTGCTGCAGGAGGAGGACCACCAGTGGGCCGCGGGGCCGCAGTCCTCCGAGACCCCGCCGGCGCGCCACTTTCTCCGGAGCACGAGCGTCCCGCTCACGGCTCTCGGCCCGGCGTGGGTCGACGAGTGCGGCGCAGAGGGCGACGCGGAAAGGTCCTTCTGCCCCGCCTCCTCCTCCTCCAGCAGCAGCCCTGGACGAGCCACCGGCGCCCCCTGTTGGCGCCACGAGGAGTTCCCCTACCTCACGGTCGCCGAGGTCGTTGACGAGGCGGCGGGGGTGCGGGTCTGCGGCAGGCGGTGCTTCGCAATGGAGACGGTCAGCGCGAGTGTGGATGGGTCCTTCTCTGCTGGTGGTGGTGGTGGTGGGACCACGACGGCCGAGGCAGTGGAGGACGGTGGAGACGCAGGCCGGGCAGAGGTGCAGTTCCCGGATGACATGTGGAGGGCCGTTATGTCGGGGGCGGCGCTGGCGGGCGATGAGAGGTGGGTTGTCGGCGAGGACGGTGCGGGGGACGTGAGCGTGGTACG